CATATAGGTAGTCCTTAACCTATGACCATAGTTGAAACCAGAAGTTTCTTCCTAAGCAATCCAGTTATTAAGTGTGTAATGCCCAATTTTTTATTGTGATTGTTGAGAGAATCAGACGGTCATTAAGCAGATCCAGCTTCCCCCATTGATTTTGATTGTCAGAAGCCCCCTGGGAGGGTGGCGTATGGTGATCACATGATCCCAGGACACTGCAATCATTGCAAATACATGCCAGTTGCCAAGTAGCTACATTTTGTCTCTCCACACTGGCTCAGGAATTCTGGGAGTTGAAGTCCATCGGTTGTAAAAGTGCCATAGCTGCCCACCCCTGCTCCAAAGTAATGGCTGAAGTGAATGTTTTTTTCAACTTCCCAGAGTTTTGCTCCCCATATTTCCGGATGGCATCCATTCAACTACGAAACAGGTCAGATCCAGTTTATTTTCAAAGTCTTCACAGGGCCAGCCAGATGATGCTACTCAGACTCTTCTTAGCAGGATTTCCTCTGGCAACTAATTAAACATTATGTTTATCTCATTATGAGATAACCAATTGTCACTATGTTCTTTTATTATTTCTACAGCCAACTATTATTAACATTTCCAAAGGATAAAAAAAGAGTATCTTGTAACACTTTAAAAAACACCACAAAAAAAACCCAAAAAACCAGATGTGGTCTACAAAAGTTTTTGCCCTCAGTTTAATGACTCTTCAGACTTTGTTACATATCGTATTGGCCATTCTAGTTACATTTAACTGCAACTAACTCCTCATTGACCCATATTTCTGCTTCTCCTGGCTTCTATATAGATACACATTATCCCTTCATTAAACCTCACAAATCAGTTCTGTGCTCCATGATGCCTTTATTCCCAGAAGTAGTGCATGAAATGAAATAGTCCTAAATCTTTGCTTTCCAGTTTCTTACTACATTTTCTGCATTTGGTATCAGAGGAAAAGATAAAAACGATGGGGGCATATCATGAATTTTATGAGGAGCATGACTGTAATGCCAGACATTTATAGTTTTTAAAAAGTTATCAGAGAGATGCTATCATCCTGGTAAAGCCTATAGGCGGGCCTTGTAAATAAATAAAAATTAGTGTTTTGCAACATTCCAGTCCCCCTTTTTAAAGTTTTTTTATTTTCAGTTCCTCTTTTAATGGCTTATTTTAAGGTCCTTGGGTCAGGCTGCCTGGAAGGCAGGAATCTAGGTCACCTTACGCCAGTCCTACAGTCTTTCTTTAAAAGACAAGACACAAAAAGCATAACCCACAAGCCACATATGCCTTCTTGCATTGCTTTCGTGGTCCCAAGAGAGATTGTGTTTACTTTGGTGGGAACAAAGGATCCCAAAAGACTCTGACCCTAGCCAATTTTGCAGTGTAGCCTTGCTGGATGTGCCAGGAAGATTGGCAGTATGGCAGATGTGCCAGTCTCTAGTCCAGGGGTCCCCAAGCCCCCCCCCCCGGTCCATGGGCTGACACCGGTCCGTGGCATGCTAGCAACCATTCCGCGCAAACAAGCAAAGCCCCATCCATAGGATACAGGCAGTATGCAAAACCACGCCCCTTCCGGTCCATGGAAAAACCGCTCTCCACGGAACCCGTCCCTGGAGCCCAAAAGGTTGGGGGCCACTGCTCTAGTCAACAGACGTTGAAAATCCCTGCCTAAAGGATTCCTACAGAGGTAAACTACCATACAATATAAAGGTAATCCTCAACTTACGATCACAATTGAGCCCAAAATTCATGTTGCTAAACGAGAAATTTGTTGAGTGAGTTTTGCCCCATTTTACAGCTTTTCTTGCTACATTTGTTAAATGAATCACAGCAGTTGTTAAATTAGTAACACGGCGGTTAAGCGAATCTGGTTTCCCCATTGACTTTGCTTGTCAGAAGGTTGCAAAAGTTGATCACATGACCCTCACACACACACTGCAACAGTCATAAATGTGAGTCAGCTGTCAAGCCTCCGAATGCAAACCACGTGACCGTGGGGATGCTGCAAGCGTCAGAAATGTGAGAAACGGTCATGAGTCACTTTGAGTGCCCTTCCTTTCAAACGGTCACTGAGCGAACTGTTGTAACGCGGAGGACTTGCCTGTATAAGTTTGGCCC